TAATTATGAATAAATAAAATGACCATAAATCCCCCAAAGATCTTACTCAACGTTTTGACTTTACGCCAACAATAATGTCTTAGATCAGGAAATTAAGGTGTCACGTCATAAACCCCTCCCCAGTAGCACAGCGGTAAGTTTGAAGGCACTAAGATACGACTTTCGACACGTTTAGTAGGAACAGCGTAGAAAGTCTATGGTGTAGCTTGTAGCTTTGCACTTAACTAAAAACAAACAACAAAAAAAAATATATATAAGCCAGTAATTAATTAAAATATTAAATGCCTCATCTCTTAAACCTAATCAAATATTGATTAATTACTAAATTTCTGACTCGGGATATCATTAACAATGGCTAACTCATATCGCAATCATTGTTTGCTAAAGTTTATTTAGCTTTCTCTATAAATTTTCTTTTTGCTATGTAAGATATTCTTTATTTGTTGTTTCAGGCTCACTAAGAAAGTACTTGTATTTGTAAACAAAGATGTTGGACATTCATTACGTGGATTTCCTTTTTATGTTGCAAGCTTTGGATTCCGCGAAGTATACTTTGTTGATGAACAGTAGCAAAATTATTCTTTAGGCATGTTAATAGGCCTGTGACATTGAAACATAAGAAACTGTGCCATCTGGTATTGAGATAAAAATATAAGAATCTACATTGTGAATATCCAGTATCTGTGTTTACTAATATTATTCCTTTATTTAACAATAATACTTGTATAGTTTATGTATGTGCTACGAGCTTTTAATAATGAAATTGATAATATCTATGATATGCTTTAATATGTGGTTTAATATCTAGAATAAACAGATTCTTAATTCACGAGAGTCCATTATAAAAAGTGAAGCTCTTTTTGCTTCATTTCATTTACTCGTAATTGTGTGCATTATAATCAAATTAGCATCCCACAATTTAATTAAGAGACGTAATACTAATTTATTCCATCTTAATCTTTCCCTACCTAACATACCTTCATGTGTTTGATAGAATTGGGGTACAAATCACGTGTCTCACCTTTTTTTATACTGTACAACACTGCATTGTCGTACTTCTAAATATAAGAGCTGTAGAAATGTTAGGTTCTTTTTTGAAGATGCAGGTAACATAACTTACACAGATCCTTAAAAGTTATATACGAATAACCTGAAAATAGTAAAAACAGGGAAAAATATAAAGACTTGAGTGAATAGTTCTATACTTTTAACATTAGGCCCGGCCCGGCATGGCCAGGTGGTTAGGGCGCTCGACTCACAATCTGTGGGTCGCGGGTTCGAATCTCCATCACACCAAACATGCTCGCTCTTTCAGCCGTGAGGGCGTTATATAATGTGACGGTCAATCCCACTATTCTTTGGTAAAAGAGTAGCCCAAGAGTTGGCGGTGGGTGATTATGATTAGCTGCCTTCCCTCTAGTCTTACACTGCTAAATTAGGGACGGCTAGCGCAGATAGCCCTCGTGTAGCTTTGCGCGAAATCCGTAACAAACAAACAAACAAACAAACAAACATTAGGCCCCTAGATATTGCCCTTTCTTTCAACCAAGGTCGAAGTTTATCATTATTTTTCATTGATGTTACTCACTCATTTGCTATAGTAACGCCTCCCCACCCGGTGGCACAGCGGTATGTCTGCGGTCTCACAACGCTTGAAACCGGGTTTCGATACCCGTGGTAGGCAGAGCACAGATAGCCCATTGTGTAGCTTTGTGCTAAACTTCAAACAAACAAAAAGCTATAGTAATATTAACACTTTTATAAGAACGTAAAATAACAAATATGATTTTTCCAAGTTATAGCTTTTTTGTTTTCTAAGAATATTTCAGATGTCCGTACAATGTAAAATTTATGGAGCATTTATTTAATGCAGCTTCTAGAATTTATCAGTCATAAATTATTTTTGGTGATGTTACTAGTTATTGTAGTTATTCAAAGAGGAGCTACCGCTCTGAATATTTGCTGTGTCTATATCAAAGAGCAGGTAAAAGGATATACACGTATATAGGGTTTTTGTGCTTGTTTCAGAATATTCTCACAAAGCTACAAGAAGGTTGTCTTATCTTACTTCTTCCCAGTTTTGACCTCGTATACTAAAGGGAAGGAAGCTTGTCAAAAGCAGCCACCAACAACTAGTCGACTACTTTTTCTGTCCGAATTGTGGGACTTGACTGTCATTTGTTAGTGCGCGTTCGTGGCCCAAAATTTCAATGTGCAGTTTTGGGACAACGAGATACACACAATGAAACATTGGATTCACCATCAGGGTATGCTGATAACAATACCACACCTGGATCCACAAACAAAGGAATAACATGCAAATATTAATTAACGTACCTTTTCCATCGTTCACTTTTGAATTGTCTTTTGGAGTCTCGTTTTCTTTCACGTTCTTCCAATATTTCTTCTCGTACTGAACCTAAGAGAATGCGATTTTAGCAATTTTCTAGGCAAACACCATCTTTCCCTTTTAAATAGAAAAATATACATCATATGTTTAGAGAAAAACAAACTAATCTGATATTACAGAACTGTCTTACTCTTTCCTTTAACTCCGATATAAATATGAATAGTTTCCTACATAATAAAATATTTGCTATTTTTTAAATGGCGACTAATACAAATCCATAAAATAAAATAACTCATTTAAATCCAACACATCTGTATACCCTTTTTCAAGGGCTCCCATCTTCACGGATTACAAATATCGTTTAATGTTTAAAATCATCATAAGATATGGATTAAACATATCAATTGGCTCTAAAAAGTTAAAAAAAAACTGATAAAGCTCTTTACATGATTGTTGTTAATTTTCTCATTCTTTCAAACGTAAAAACCTTACAGATGGAAATCTTAAGCCTTCCATCAATCTAAAAATAGAATTGAATCACAGTTTTATTAAAAGTGAGCAGTCGTGTTGCAATAAAATTTAATAAAATTTCTAAATTTTACACTTAAAATAAAAATGTATTGATTACTTATTCCAGAAAGTGCTGAAACCGAAGAAAATGAAATATTTCTCAAGTATGTTTTAATCTTCTTGATAGCTTCCTCTGTCGTAATGTGGGATAATTTCTCCTGTCTCCCATTACTTAGCTGTAGTTATACCATCCCATGCATTGAAGCACCCCAACACATAATTATCACAGGAAGACTAAAATTTTAAAACAGATATGTAGAGAAATAAACTCTAATCTTATATCAGATTATTTTGTTTATCCTTTCTGACTGTTTTTATTATTATTATTATGAGTTACTGCGTAGTAATCCATATTGAAATCAACTAAAATACCTGATAACTACTCGAACTAACCAATGGTTTGGTTTGAATTTCGCGCAAAGCTACACGAGGCCATAGTAGTGATAGACTAGAGGGAAGGCAGCTAGTCAACACCATCCACCGCCAATTATTGGGCTGCTCTTTACCAACGAATTGTGGGATCGACTGTCACAATATGACGTACCAATGGTTGAAAGGGCGAGTATATTTGGCGACGGGTTTTAATCCCGCGACACGCAGATAGCATGTCAAGTGCCCTAAAGCGCTGATTGAAAACGAAGTTGTAAAATTCAGCTACTTAATGTCACCGTTGTTATCTAAAGGGCAATAATGCGGTTTTATAATAGCTCACAACTATAAAAAGGCTTAAGCTCAGAGAAAAACATAAATAACCTCCTACTTAATATATTTCAGTTTTAATTTTTTCGTTACCATGTATACGCTATTTGACAACAGTGTACTGTCAAGGGTGTTTCTTAGTACTGGTTGTTTGGAAAATTTAGAGTTATATTTCCATCCCCTATGACCTCATTATCAATTTTTTGTAAACAAAACATATATATTGGTTATGTCTATGTATGAAATATAGAATAGGTGAAGATAGCATAACAGAGCTTCTAAAGAATATAAAAAAAGTGTATCCGGTGACTTAAGCCTCAAAGAAGAAAAGTCCTGATGAGGTTAAGGAAGGAGATGGTTTATGGAAAAGAACAAATTCTTCTGCAACACATTATTTCAATTCATGTTGTAAAACAGTTGTGCGTGAGACAAGAGGAGAAGGAAAAGGCTTATATCGAACAGAAGTCTTTTAACAGTAATACATGTTTGCTGGATTGATAAATCCTCATGAAACTCGTACTTTGTTTGCTCATGTAAAATACTTCTTTTAACTCGATAAACAGTGTCAAAAAATAACAAACAAAATCTGATTCCGATTAGAGGTTAAGAAACAATAACAATAATTCAAAGAGACGTCTTAAGCAAGAAAAACTTCAGGATTTGAAGACTCCCTTCCTGTCAAATTGTCAGATCAATACATACGTGGCCTTGCCGCAGAGTCAGATTACTGAGGAATTAATCTTTCAGGCGCTCAGTGATGGCATGAGTGCTCACAGCTCAATTGAAGGATAGACAAAAGTTGGTACAGCCCGCATGGAATCACATTATGCGCATGGTAACAGCATGAACTCATAGAGACATCAATTTTCTATAGGATCTCATGCAGTTTGTTTTAAGTAACTATAGAAAAAAGATCATTGTTGATCGTGCTGCGAATACTGGAAGATTCTATACTTATTACATTATCTGGATTGGCGTTTATTTATACGCCGACCCTTAACTTTCATATTTTTTGGCACATTAGCTGATGTTTAGTAGGTCAGTGTTCGTATACAAATGAATGTATTGGTAGAACAATTAATTGGTTTTTTCATACAACATTAAAACGCCAACTCAGTTAAACAAATGTAGAATCGATTTTTTTCAGAAGAGTGAAAAAATACCAAGACATTCAGTGCTTTAGCTTTGCATATCTTTGCATATTTGTCACGTAAGTATTGTATAAACCTATGTGACTCAGTTTATTTTAGTTAGGCACTTTAAAAGCTCAAATTGAGAACACAACCTCTAAATGAAATGTTTTTTCCATTGTAGGAATGTTTATTCTGTTCTGATTATGTATTCTAGACAGTCTTTTATATGACAATCATCAGGAAGTCCAATCATTATTGTGTCTTAATCAAAATCACAATTGGGTATAACTATAATTATAATGAAAGTTTTGAGTCAAACAATATCATATTAATACACTATCACTGAAATGAACAAAAGTTACTATATATATTTAAATTCAAGTTCTTGTTTCCTTAATATCAATACTACTGAACGTTATGTACTCAACAGTTAACAGTAAAGCAGACCATTTTAGATACCGTACTTATAAGCCAATCAGATTACTTATAAAGCCAAATTAGAATATATATATTTTCATACTTCTTAAAGCCTGTATTTTAAAATCACTTACTTTCTCTTGGTGTCCAGCTCCATGCCGCAGATTTTTATGCTTTGTATCCATAACAAGATCCTGTTGTTTTACTGGTTCCAAGTTAGGCCTAAGAAGGAAAAGTATTGAGGTAAAAAGAAATTAAGAAACACTTCTGTGTTCCATTACTTCAAATAAAACTATTATTAAAGACTGTGAATGCTAAATATTTAGTCGAATCCTTAACACTGAACCGTTTAACAGTTTTGTAGAGGCATGTTAATGACTACATCCAAAATTAAACATGGAGTAACAGTGCCGTGGTTATATATGGGATCGAACTTTTGGCCATATTTGGAATACTGCCACAACTATTCTAAATGTTGTTTCAGTTGAACTTCAAGTAGATAGACATAGTAGGTTTGAACACTTTAATGGACCGTAACTGCCTGTTAATCGAACAGGGGGACGACGTTTTGGCTTCTGTTCTTCTTAATGGAACAAGGCCTCACCATAGAGGCCGAAAAGTTGTTCCCTTATCATTGTAAAGGCAGTTAGAGTCCATTAAAGTTCTCAAACGACTTTTCTAGATGTTGGAATCTCACTACCCCTATATTGTTGAATGGATTGAAATACACTTACATTAAACATCCTACATCAGGTTAAGAGAAATGAAAAAGATGATAAATTATTGTTCTTCTTCTCCTCCTTATTAAAGTGGTAAAACATATAATAAATAAAGGAAGGCCGGCATGAAAGAAAATGACACTGGTAGATGTTTGATCTGAACTAGGGATTGTTGATAATTGCAGTACATATCTTAATGCTTTTAATTACTTTTATCGTTTTATATGGATGACTATTTCATTCTAACTTGGCTGTTTTTGTACATGTTCAAAATCATACATTTGTATTGTGACGGATTTATTATTATATATTTATTTTACTATCGACTTTGTTTAGGTTGAATTTATATTTAGAAACATGCATAGCTTATAGTGTTAAATATGTATTGCAAAACTCTTGCCTATTCCCCAAAGTTGTAGAAGAGTCTCAAGAGTAAGAATCAACGATATATGTGTGTACGTAAACGTTTGTGTTAGCGTCAGTATTGTTACGTAAAACTGAAATTTCGAGAAAGCCTCCACACGCCTACAATTATAACCAACGGCGCGCACCAAAAGGTTGTATCTATTATTAGTTTGCTATAGTCAGTGTGCTATAAACTTCGGAAGCTATAACTGTGATTGTTATAA